AACCCACAATTTCTCTGGAATTTTAATTAGGAAATGTGGTTGACCTTTCCCTGTTTGGCTGCTGAATTGTGTTTAGCACAGGTATGCCCTACTCATCTTGTGGACAAAAGAGGTGTCATTTAGTATGAAAACTGGGGCTTTAGTGTTCTTCTGTAAATACATTATGCAATAAAGTTATCGTCCCTCACTCTAGCTTGTCTTCAAATAATTTCTAAAAGTTGAGTTAGATCTGATGTCCATGTACAATATTTCTAGCCAGTACTATGTCTTGATAAATCATTTAATAGTTCTAACTTTATTATCTCTCATTTATCAAGTGTCATGTCTTTGAACTTAAAGTAAAATCTATTATAGCATCTTTATATCATCTTTGGGTTTTGCAGCTTCAGCTACTGGATCAGAAACTTGCCAGAGGTGATTGTTTGAGCTACCAAATGACAGGAAATGGCAATGAGCTGGACAGGGTAATCCACCAAGTCTCAGCCAGCTCCAGAATCTCAGAGTTGTGGGTTTCTTCTCTGAGTATGGGTTTGCCCCGTGGTGTTCGGAAGGTACACTGGCACAGCTGTGAATTCTCTCCTTGGCCTCCTGCTCTCACAAGGCCTTTCATCTTCCTTGATACCACCCCTGGTCTTCGTCATGCACCACACTGAGAGAGTGGATCAGCCCTCTCAGATGACCAGAATTTCCAGCCAGAGCACTCCCAATTTCCTTTACCACCCATCTCACGGAATGCTTAATCTATTTAAGTTTTTTTTTTTATTATTTTAAATCTTTTGGCGCCATTTAAAAATTTGACTTATTATAGATATTAGGAATTTTTATTATATATAATACCTATTTTAAAAGAAATTGCTGAAATTTAGAGGAAAAATGTTTGCTTGAAGAATTTTACATGTGTTTTTTTTATTATCCGGCCTACTTTTATCTATTTATTTCTTTTGGTACCGGGGATCGAACTCTGGTCCTTGTGCTTGCAAGGCAGGTGGCAGAAACACTGAGCTAAATCTCCGGCCCCTGTGCCTACTTTTATTAATAAACTTAGCTTTATAAGTTATATTTCTAGCTGAGTCTGATTCTATTTAATTTTTGGCTCAGTTCGGAGACAGAAACAAAAATTGGCTTACTTCTTTTGAAGAACATGAAGAGAAAATGAAATATGAATAAAATTTTTTCTATTGAGTTTTAAATTTTATAATTGAGATCTGAACAAATTAGCATGAAATCTGGAAAAGTACCTAATCTCTCTTTAAATATAATAAACCTTTTTATTTCAGGAGCCCCAAGGCCTGAATCTAGGTTTTTCCTCCTTGTTCTGTGTAGGAGTAAATTAAATACTTTTTCTTTTCTGACAAGAAAAACATAATGAAGGGCTTTTGTACTATTCTTGTTTGTGACTGTGTTACTGTCATCAGTTAGTACATCAGCCAGCTGTAGATAAAGAGAACACATCTGTACCTTAGCACCTGATATGTCCGAGTCACAGTGCTGGACATTGGACAAACGATTGTTCATCAAATCCTCCCAACAACTGTGTGACACAGACATTTCAATCTCTGTTTTACAAATGTAAAATCTAAGGTTCACAGTTCTTTGTGAATTCTGGAGTTGGAATTGGATCCAGGTCTTTCCAAATCTACTGCTTAGCATTGCTGAAAGCTGAGTGCTAGGAAAGTATGGGAAGAGGTTTGCATATCCTACACATTCTCTTTTGGGCCTGGTTTAATTCTTTGCATAAGAATAGATTGTAGGTGGCTGCTTTAATTAAAAGGTTGATATGCATCTGCTTGCTCTGTCCAGGTGATGGAGCGTGAGACCACTGATCGAAGTGTCACACTCTTACTGGCTGAGTGTGTTAGGGCAGTATGTACTCTCTCAAATCTTCAATTTCCTCATTGGAGCAGCAATAATAATTATAATTCTCATGAGGAATGAATGAGGTAACATGTAGAGATCTCTGTATAACCCATGGAGTAAAAATAGGGCTTTGCTAATGTTAGTTTTAAATGATAATGAAAATTATGAGGATGATAATGGTGATTATAAACCAGATGTTGCATAGCTCTATATAGCCATGGAGATTTAAATATGAAGCTAAGAACTTAAATGGAGTTGGAGGAAAAAAATACTGTAATTAAAGTTTTCTTGAGGACTGAGGTAAGTTGATAAAGATTAAGAAATCATGAGAAAGAAATTTTTTCTAGTTTATTAGTGTGAGGATTTTTTTGATGTGTGAATCATATTCCTCTAATCCATGTAACTTTAGCAGAGTATGCATGGATTCCTGCTTCCCATATCTTTTAATACAGAGAAACTTAAGGGAAGGCAGCAAGGAGGGTGAGGAACTACTTCTTGACTTATAGAAACCAGGAGAAGTGTGGTAGATGGAGAAATCCAAGTGGTTTTTAGGTCTTGGTGTAGGATGATGGGGCACAATTGCAGGTGCATGGTGTTTGTTTTGTGGGCAGCTGTGTTCTTACATACCCAGCTGTAATGGTCCAATGGCAGAAATACTTTAGAAAATGTATATTAAACAACATTCTTGTTATTTAATACCAATTTGAATAAACATTGATACTTAATTGATTGTTACCTTTTTCTCTTTCACTCTTTTTCTCTTTTTTTTTTTCATCTGCCCAAGGCTGGTTTTCTTTAGGCCTCAGTGACTGAGGACATATTAGTATACATTTCATAGTTTCCTGTTCTTTAAAATTAGTGAGTTTACTAACTAATCAGAGATCCCTTTTATCTCTCTAGCTCTATAATTCTACAATTTTTGTAGTAAGATACTATTTGTGGGGCCGGGGATTTAGCTCCGTGGTTTGGCCGCTTGCTTCGCAAGCTCAAGGTCCTGATTTCGATCGCTGGTACCAAAAAAAAATGCTATTTGTGACTCTAAGGCTAGTAGTTTAGAACATGCACTTACAAAGTGTTTGCTTGTGAGCCCCTATGCCTTGTGTGACATTAATCTCACATTGATTCGTGAGTTACCAAGAACATCTCATTTGGAAGGCTGCCTTGCCTTCCATTTGTTATACAATGGTACCCGATCCCTTTGCACTACAGTAAGTGTAGTGTATGGTAAGTAGCCCTTGTGTACTTGAGGTTCCCATCGTGGGTTCATTTCCGGCCACGGAGAGATTGCTTAGTCTTATTCAGGTTTAAACACTTGCACACTTATTAGCCTCTAATCTGTTTTCTGGAAAATTGATGATGAGCAAAGAAGATATATTCTTGTAAAAAAGATTTATTTTTAAATCAGCACAATGTAAAAGATGAACCATGTCAGCAGCTTTCTTTTTGTTCCACAATCACCTTGCCCCTAGTGACTTTTCATGAACGCCCACTTCCTTTCATTGCTATTTGTATTTGTTGCCTGAATTAATTTTCTTCAGGCTTTTCCTATTAGTTATCCTTTCTTTGTATCAGACACCATGACCTCATGAGAAAAGCACACAGAACCAAGGGTGCCCTGAGACTGTGCCCATGTTTCCTGAACTCAGGAAAGCTTTCTCCTTCAATGTGTTTTGAGCACCTGCTGATGTTTTCCTTAGGTTCCTTCCCTTAAGTGGACATGTTCTTAAAGGACGGACACTTGGAATCTGTTGCTGTTGTATAGCAACACTTTGTAGGTGAACATGTGTGGTTGGGATGAGCTGTGCTACTGGATAAGTGGTACTAACAGTCATTAAAGATAAGTCCTGGTGCATTAACAGACATTGCAAAATAGTTGTTGAATGGATGGATTATTAATGGATGGATGAATGATCTACTTTTAGCTTTGGGTAGTATTCTATGTGATGTATAAAAATGGTGGCACAACTCAGTGTGATGGCACACACCTGTGATCCCAGCACTTAGGAGGATGAGGCAGGAGGATCACTGCAAGTTTGAGGCCAGTCTGAGCTTTATAATGAGTTCAAGACCAGCCTGAACCACATGGTGAGACTCTGCCTTAAAAAAAAAAAAAGGTAGGCCTGGGATTTAGCTCAGTGGTTCTGTGGCCTGCCTCGCAAGCTAAAGGTACTGGGTTCGATTCCCAGTACCAAAAAAAATGGTGACATAGTGATGAAATCAATGGAGTCATGATTATGAATATCATGGTGTGACTTCCATTCTTCTGTGGGTGCACCCGGGTGCCTGCCAGCCTCTGTTCTTCACTGCCACTTCTTGCTTTTCTCCCCAAGCCTGTATCCTTTCTTACCTTTCTTCCTTTTTGTAACTGTTGGCTCAGTTGATTTTCTTAGACATTTCCATGTTGTACCATTTCTTTGCATCGGGCGCCATGACCTCATGGGAAAACAAAAAGCACCACATTTGATTGTGATCCCTCATCACCTTCTTATGTGCTCACAATGGTGTTATTGGTGTGGTACTGACAAGTATTTTCTCTATTTCACACTTCAAGAGATGGATAATGTTTAAAGTGAATTATTCTGATTCAATCATTACACAAGATATACATGTATTGAAGCATCATGTTATACCTCATACATTTGTAAATTATATGTTAATTAACAAGTAAACTAGGGTTAGGGGGTGTAGCTGAGTGGTAGGGTGCATGATTAACACATGTGAGGTTCTGGGTTCAATCCTGTGCCAGCAAAAATAAATAAAATTAGGCAAAATAAAATAAATTGTGGTTCAGATTTGCTAAGACATAGAGCCAAGTGCTCATGTTTTAGAGAGAAGAAGGAGGAGTTATATGGGCTTAGAGTTGTTGAGCCCAGATGTAAGACTAGGTCCATAGCATTCAAGTAGAGGGTAAAATTGGGGTGGAGCAGAGAATTTGGTAAAGAAGTATTCAATCTGAAACATCTTTCTTTATGTTTTGGTGTGAAGTTATAAAAATAACAGTGAGGGTAGCTACTTTATGGTACATAGCTTTGGTTAGTGTGAATATCTTCTCTAAAATGGACAAATCACTAAATAGCAAGAATATTCCTCTTAGCTTCATTTTTAATGTATGCTGCTCACAACTTTCTTCTTTTCTCTCTCAGACCTTCTCTGACCATGCCCCACAGGAATCTGACAGGAAGCTGCAATGTTAATTGCGGTTGTAAAATACACGAATATGAGCCTGTGTGCGGGTCCGATGGGATTACGTACTTTAACCCTTGTCTGGCTGGCTGTATTAATAGTGGCAATCTTAGCACTGGGGTGAGTATACTTCCTAAATTCCTCTTCTGTTTTTAATCCAGTATCCTATGGCAAGAATGTGCGTGAATTCATATGCAACCACCATGATTTCAGTCCCCCTTTTCAAGGACCCAGTACCTCTGACAGATGCCTAGCAGAAAGACAGTTACACAGTGCTATCATTTTTTACCAGGGCTGACAAAAAATGATGCATGTGTAGAGATTTGGTTCCATTTCAGCCCTGTTCTATTTTACTTATCGAGCCAACTCAGTGAAACTTGAGAAGGTTGGGCTCCAGCTTTTCCATTTGATCCTCTGACAGGGACCTTGTAATGGATTTGAAGGTCAGGGTGACTACAGTTGGTGCTGATAGGAGAGACTAGGAAAGCGCCTACCCTGGTAGGAGTCTGGAAAGATCAGCAGTGGCCATTTTTTCACAAACTGGAAGTTCACGTCAAGCTTTATTTAAAACTTTCAGCGTAAAGATATTTCTGTCAATTCAAGAATAGGCTATTTTGAGAATTCCCTTCCCTGAGCCGAGTTTAATTCTTTGCATAAGAATAGATTGTCTTTAATTAAAAGGTTAATATGCATCTGCTTGTTCAGTGCCGGTGACAGGTTGTGAGACCACTGTTTGAAAGTTTTAGAGATGCTGTGTTTGATTCTGAGATTGAAACTAGAGTGATAAATTGAGAATTCCTGTCGCTAATTCCCGGCACCTAATGGTCGAATTTCTGTGTGTGAGACCATCCTGGCTCAGGGTGAGAGTTCTTCCTGGGGGTTGGCCTTGTCCTCGGGGGCACAGTGCTTGTTCTTTGAACCCTCACAGAGATGGTGAAACAGGGCCCAGCCTCACACCTGTTCGAGCTGCTGCTCTCAGAGGGCCTCAGCTCAGTCAGTTTCCATTCAGCCATAAGCAATGGCCTAGGCCATGACAGTGCATCAGCTACCACAGCTTTGGCTAACTTGTTTTGATATTGTGGAGGTGATGCCAAATAAAGTTTCATTTTTCACTTTTGCATTTGTTTTCAGTGGGAATTTTGGTAGTTAACTGAAAAGATTTGGTGTCTTTTGCTCTTCTGTATCATCAGTCCCTTCAGACAACACTTGGTAGAGCAGTAGTGAGTCATGGATAATTTGTTGGAAAAAGCGAACAAGTGGTTTGGGGCTCAGCAGCGTTTCCAGACAGCTGCACTGAATAGTGTTCGCGAGTAGCACAGGGCAGCGGCCACACTTACATTACATCCATGGGGTGGGGTCATTATGCATCTGTAGGGCAGAGGCCACCAGGTAATAACAATGGCAGTGAAGCTGGAGCAGCCAATGGTACTGAAGCCATCCATCATGCTTGCGTTCTGATTTGTTTACTAGACATTAACTTTAAGACCTACTGTGTGTGCAGGGTGGTGTTAGTACTTTGGAGAGTAGGATTGAGCCAAGTACTTGGAAAGCGGGATTGTGCAGAGTACTGTGGTGAACACAGAAAACTCAGAGGGGAGTTCATGTTGCTGAGGACTGAACTGGCCAGCCCAAGAGTTCTGTGGAGATCAAAGCATAATACATTTATGACCCCAAATGAGCATACGGTAGGTGAATACTATAGAAGTACTGAGTGCTCCTCAGAAAAATTGCAGTTTAAACCATTTTGACCAGCAGATTTTGGTACTGTGGGACACACACTTTGACCCTTTCCTGTCATTAGTGAGGGTGAAGTGTTTAGTAAAATTTTTGCATTTAAAATACTACAATTATTTTAGAGCATCTTTAATTTCTCTTGGTATTCCTGTGCCACATTTTGCTTTCGATTGGCTGTACTTATTTTGCCACTTAGATTCGGAATTATACCGAATGCACCTGCGTCCAGAGCCGACAAGTGATCACTCCCCCAACCGTGGGACAGCGCAGCCAGCTCCGCGTGGTTATAGTCAAGACGTATCTCAATGAAAATGGCTATGCCGTGTCGGGGAAGTGCAAACGGACCTGCAATACGCTCATCCCCTTCTTAGTGTTTCTGTTCATAGTCACCTTCATCACAGCGTGCGCCCAGCCATCAGCCATCATAGTCACGCTCAGGTGAGATCAGCAGTGGCTTCTGGGAAGTGATGGTATGAGCAGCGTCAGGAAGGGAAGGGTCAGGAAGGGAAGGGACGACTGTGACTTTTCATGTTGTAGAACTTTCTTCGGTTGGGTTCTGGTCCTGTTGTTCAGTGAAACATCATTTGGGTCCTTTCTGTTCCTGAAGTCTGTGCCCAACAAGGTTGGTCTTTAGGAGTTGGAGACCATCTCTGTGTGAGCTCTGAGAAGCTGGAGCCCAGAGGAGGGCAGGAAGTAATTTGGCCAAGTTGCTGGATCATGCACACTGCAGAAGCCATTATCTCCAGCCTCGAGGATGGCTAGTACCGAGCCTCCAGGATCTGTGACTATTTATGCTGTGCCCTCGTTTCATGGTGCTGCATTCATTCATTTTACTCTCGTCTAAAATTTTGGAGCTGGATCAAGAGAAAGGCAGACTGGGAAATGTGATTTTTTTTTTTTTTTTTTTTTACTTACTCAGGCTGTGCTTTCTTTGCTGTATTATATTAACCTGTTTGGGTTTCTTATTCATGGAAGGACATGGCAGCTCCTTTTGTTCTATTAAAGATGTCAGTGCTGGGCCGGGGATTTAGCTCAGTAGTGCCACTGCCTGCCTCACAAGTGCAAGGTCCTGAGTTCGATTCCTGGTACCAAAAAAAAAAGATGTCATTGCTGCCATATTCAGATCACTGTGCTGGTGTTTGCAGCAAAGGTTTCAGGGGCAGTGGTAAAGCCCATCAGCTTATACAACATGGCCTTAGGGACCAGGGTTTGTGCAGTGAGGGTGTGAGGAAGTGAGTGAGCCTTACTTCTCTCTGGCTCCTTGAAACCTCACAGTGATGGCGCCTGGCAGGAAGCATGTGACGACTGTGTACAATCGGGCAGATTGCTGGGAAACATGAAGGATTTGGGGGGAAAGACAACAAGGGTAGGGGTCCTTGGAAATTTTCCACTGTATACCAAGAGCTCTAGGATAAGGCACTTCATTGTTTTGTTTGTCTTGGGTGGGGTGTCGTTAGGTTGCCCAGGCCAGCCTCAAATCCCTGGGCTCAGTGATCCTCCCCCTTGGCCTCCCAAGTAGCTGGGCTACAGGTACACACGGCTGTGCCCTGCTCACCACTTAAGAAGCTGTGCAAACCATTAATAATTTTACTCACTTAATAACCTAGTGCTTTACACTTTGGTTCTATGAGAGATGCTAAATAATCCACAGAAGGGCCACTCACTTTATAGTGTTCAGATATGGCAAGTGACTTCTAACCCCAAATCTCAGAAAAGGAGTCCTGTAATCTCTGCTAATTGAAAAATCAATAGGCTCCAATCTTTCTGCCATATAGGAATTACTTCAGTCATAAATATTAGGAAAAGGAAAAATGTGGTTGGGAGGAGTTTATTCTTTCTGTGACTTTTGACTTGATTTTTTAAATACAGTTTGTGGATATATGCTTTGTTTTTGTTTTTACCTTTTTCGACCTGTAGGAATTATGGGAGTGATTTCCATGGACACATCTACCTTTCTGGAAAGTTCAGGCAAATAGAGAAAGAGAATGCACTTTTTAAGACAAAATGTTATGAATTATTAGAAACAGATTTTGAAGACCCAATTAAAGCTGCTTCTGCCTCTCCAACAAAGAGCCTTTGACCTTCCACTAGTATTTACATAGAAGCAATTAGAATACATTGAATTGTTTTTGGTATCTTCACCAAGGAGATCTCTATTTTGTGATTTAGCCATTCCCAACCTCGTTTGGCTGATGTTAGTAAATTCTAGTGAATTAAATATTATGGCACTGTGTCCCTTTAGTCACAGGCTCTGCATAAAGCAAGCTCAAGTTGGCATCTGTTTTCTCAGGGCTGTATGTAATAAAAACCCGTCTTTCTTTCCCCGCGTTGTAGGTCTGTGGAAGATGAAGAGAGACCTTTTGCGCTGGGGATGCAGTTTGTCTTGCTGCGAACACTTGGTAGGTACCCAAATTTCCAAGCGTGCCTTTTGGTTCCTCTTTGCAGCTGGCAAGTGCTCATTGTCCTTTAAAAATGGCACTCAAGTCATTTGTTACCAGTCATAGCTAGGAATTTATAGGTTTGGGGAGAGGGCACACTTCCTTATTTTCAGATTTGAGCTCAAAGCTGACAAGTTCCTTTGTTGAAGCAGAAAAACAAAACCGACTTTGAATTAGTTTCCTTTTGACTGTGAACATAAACTTGGGCAACATCCTCTAGAGTAAGAAATATGAAATCAAGAAATTTGTAATGAGTTTGTTATCCTGGCATTTTGATCACTTTATGCCTTCTTAATATGAAAGCAAGAGGAATGTGAAACTTTCAATTTCTTCTTTTTTTTTTTTGGTACTGGGGATTGAACTCGGGTCCTTGCGCTTGCACAGCAGGTGGTGAAACCACTGAGCTAAATCCCCGGCCCCAATTTCTTACTTCTTTATAGCAATTTTACTAGACTGAGCAAAGAGTACAAGTATCAAGTTTTCTGAGGAAAACAAAATTCTAAAAACAAAAATGTGATGTGCAGAGCTACCCTGCAGGTTTTGCTCATCAATAAGAAAAGCTCATTAGTGCTATGTCACTGTGAATGGATTGCATGAACAAGAATTTGTACAAACATGTGTCACCCCCCGAAGGCTTGGGCCAATGAATGGGAAGAACATGTGAAGTGGCCTATTGCTTAGATCAATTTCAATGTATTCAATTGACTTCCTCATCACCAAGCTTATTTTTTTTTTTTTTGGTACCGGGGATCAAACTTGGGTCCTTGTGCTTGCGCAGCAGTCAGCGAAACCACTGAGCTAAATCCCCGGCCCTACCAAGCTTATTTTTTCTTTCTCAAGTGGCAGCTTGTCATTTTTTTCAGCTGCTGTTTTCTGCCCAGTAATCAGTACAATTGTTCATAGAATGAAAAAATAGTTTTTTGATTCAAATTGTAGTTTTTTTGGGGGGTTTTGGGGATCGAACTCAGAACCTTGCACTTGTGAGGCAGGTGTGTGCTACTGAGCTAACTCCCGGCCCATCAAATTTTAGTTTTTGAAGGGTGAAACATTTTTAAATGGCATCATCCTGACCTTTGAAGCATTATTCCTCTCTGGAATTCTCAGTTTGTCTGTCATTTGTGGTTGCTGGCTCAATTCATGAATGAGCATTTTCCAGTAAGCCCCAGGTGGACAATGATTCTAGTTCTAATGTGTGGCTTGTTTTTCTGATACCAATAAGACAAGAAGGTACTGTTTTAAAATGTGTGTTGGTTAAAACAAATTCTGACACACATAGGTAGTTAAAACTAGAAAGTGTTATTTTCAAAGAAGAAATCGATTCACCAAAGGGATGGGTGGATAGGAGAAGAAAAAAAATAATTCTTTTTTGCTCTGCCCCTCTTTGATGTCATGGAGCGGGTTATTTGGTTTGCTTTTAGAAGGAAAGTTAAGTCAACAGATGTATGCTGAGCTCCGGGAATAAGGGAGGGAGAGCATACCAGCCATTTATTACGTAGTTTAAACTTATCTTAATTTCTGTTGATTGTGAAACATGCAGTGAGGCTAACCAGCCAATTTCATTTCCTTAAAATTTCAAAGCAAGAGAATTTTCAGTACTTACATAGCTTTAAATTTTAATTGTAGCGATAGATCTCATTTTCATGAAATACAGCTTATGCATCACAGCTTTCTGCTCTGTTAACCTGCCCGTCCTCTCTCCCTTGTTCCCCCTCTCTTTTCTTCTTCCCTTCCTCCCCTCTTCCTTTCCACCCATCACACTTTTGCTGAGCATGCTTGAGGTATCCTGATAGGTTCTTGGGCTGGGAAGCCTAAAAGGCATGCATTGAGGTTCTGCTGAAAGACAAGTGCTGGAAAGTCCTCAACTTTGCCCTAAGAAGAACTTGATGTTAGAAGCGAAAATCACTCTTCAGAATGATCCAGCAGTTTGCACTTCAGTTTTCCTTCAAGCATTCTTCTAGTGCCAGCTCTCCCATGCAAGTCAATGGCCCTGCCGTTGGGGAGCTTATAGGGTGTCAACTTGGCAAACAGTTTAAATTAATACTATGTGATAGTTAACAGCATGGAGGTGTACACAAAACGCAGTGGGAATTGAGTGCTTCTGCATGAGAGGACTTTAAAGGAGGGGTAGGTATTTGCAGGTGAGGCTGTGGACACATTTTGGCAAGGGGAGTAGCCAGCGATGAGGCATTCCTACCAGGCAGACGTTCCTGTGGGATTCAAGAGCTGTCCTGAGCATGGCCCAGACAACAAAGCTGTGCTGTGTTGTAAGCTTCCAAGATGGATTTTATGCCATAGTTACTTCCATGACCCGAGTGCCTTTGTGAACTCGCCTTTTGATGTGGTGTGTGGCTTAGGGGAGCCAGCTCCTCCCTCCTCCTCCTCCTGCATCCAAGGACTGGGACTCAACCCACAAAAACTGGCTGTTACTGAACTTTGGTAGGCAATAAAGGCGTCTAGTATAGCTTCTTAAGTATTTAGTGACAAAATCTACCTTTACTTTAAGGAGATTCTCTAACTGCATTTTTGGTAGATAGACATTTTTTCCAGCTTTATTGAGGTATAATTGACAAAACGAACCCAAAGTGTATAATGTGATGATTTGTCACGCATATACAAGTGATAGACAGTTTTATGATCCTAAAAGTCAGTAACATGTTCTGAATTGCAAATTAGAAGATTTTAAGTATTTACTATTTAGTGAATGTTTTTATAATAAATTGTGATAAAGTGATATATTTTTTAAAAAATCAAGTGACACAAGAAAATAACTCCCATCAGTTGTTTGTGGAGCAATCTCCTTTGCTAATTTGAAATCTGTGTTCTCTTGTAAGACCTTTGCTAATTTGAAATCTGTTTTCTCTTGTAAGATGTGCTAAATCTTTCTATTTTCCTCTCTCTCTGCCTCCCCAGCATACATTCCAACTCCAATTTACTTTGGAGCAGTTATTGACACCACCTGCATGCTCTGGCAGCAGGACTGCGGGGTGCAGGGCTCTTGCTGGGAGTACAACGTGACATCATTTCGCTTTGTCTACTTTGGTTTGGCGGCCGGCCTCAAGTTTGTTGGCTTTATTTTTATTTTCCTGGCCTGGTACTCCATAAAATACAAGGAGGATGAAGTGCAGAGGCAGAGGGGACGAGAGCTCCCCCTGAGCACAGTGAGCGAGCTCGTGCGCCAGCCCAGCGGGGCCGAGAAGTATGCCCGGACTACCTCGTGCCCAACCTTCAGCACCCAGGGGGGGTTCCCCGAAGAGACTGGCTTGCAGAAAGGGATCACTTCTGCAGCACAGACCTACCCGGGCCCCTTCCCAGAAGCAATAAGGTCCTCTGCAGAGCCGGGGCCGGCAGAGGGCCCTGCTGCCGTGTAGCCCGCCTCCTGAAGCTGGAAAACCACTTGTTTTGTTGGTTGAGTTGCTTGAGAAACACCTGTGCCTTCTTTTCTTTCTTTTTTAACCTCTACAGACACAATCCTCAATCCAACAAAACTCAGTATACACAGCCGATACTGACTGAGGGCTGGATACCTCAATAGGACTGGAGCCTTTCCCTCTCCTCCAGAAGGAGGAGGTTAGGTAGATTTGTTACCACTTCTGCTATGTTAGTTTACTGCTCATGCTGCAGTACCGGGTAAGGCTGAGGTCCATGGTTAACACAACCATGGAAAGGGCAACGGCCGTGCATATCATTAGTATACACTCCAAACCAAGGTGAGCTTCACCGTGACTTTGCATTTGCAAATCCAAGTTTTTAGATTTGAACACCTACTGTGAGCTCTGCTACAAAGCACAAATGAATTTGCCTCAACTATGCAATTTGATTGGAAAAATGTAAGTGCAGCATGTTACCTTTGCTTTCAGAGAATAAAGCAGATTTGTTTTTGAAAAGAGGAAGCTGGACATTCCCTAAAGTACTGTTAATAGCATTTTAAGCCATAGCAGAGTTATCAATCAGGTAGAATTTTTCAAATACTTCAAAGGAACCATACACATAGCGTGATGAAAGGAATGGCTATATCATTTCATAAGGCATTCTCTTTAAGTCTGGCTGCTCCGTCATAAGAGGCTGCTGAACCATAAATCTGATAGTTTGAACATAAACTTCAGTATTTCATCAGGGGTTTCAAACCTAGTGTGCTAAACAATATGTCTAGAAACTGTAATTTGAGATGCATAACATGGAAACGGATGGCTTTCTCCTCCAAGGAATGGCTGTCAAAATTCCTTTGGCTCATAGGGGCCCACATAAGAGCAATTAAGAATTACAACTATGACATTCAAAGCAGTTGAAAAAGCAATTCCAGAGGTAATATTGAGTCCCACTGCAGCATTTTATTTATAACTTTAAAGCACTGGAAATCCTGTATTCTTTTTTTCTTTCTCTCTCTGTCTCTCTGTCTGTCTCTCTGTCCCTCCTCCTCCTCCTCCTCTTCTTCCTCCTCTGCCTTCTCCTCTTCCTCCTCCTTTTTGGTACAGAAAATTGCTGTGGCTGTTCCTGAAAATGAGTAATTAAATCAGGAAAGCTTTCCTTGGGGTAGAAAATCATTTTGAATCCAGAAGGGAGACCTGTGAGCCAGATCCAGAGTAAGATCCTTAGTAGAGAAAGTTATTTAACCCAGTCTATCAATTAAATCACACTTTATCAGACACAATCATTTCATATCTTAGCCTCTTTGATTCCCTTTCTGTATCCTTCCCACAGCAATTCTGAGACAGGACTTTTCTGTCCCTAAACCCCCTGTGGGTTCGTTACCTGCCATTCCTCACAGAATCTCCCAGCATATCACTTTGACTGAGATACTGTGCAGGATGCTTTCTACCTGGTTCTTAAGGTAGACACCTCCTACAGCACTGATGGACCAGCACAAGGTCACTCAAGGGTCCCAGTGCCAGCCGAGTTGTGGGCTATTTCTACCAAGGAGCCTATACTCACCTGTGTCCAAGTTGAGACATGGTTTATGAGTTTTCACGAGACAGAGGTGATGACAGACTCTCCCACCATTCGGGCTTTTTGGTTTCTCTCCTTGCTTGGTCACACAGATAAAATTTTTGTGAATTCCCAAGTACAGTGTTGTTTTCCTCTCCACCTAGGAATGAGATTGGTCAAATGGTTTTCTTGGTTGTGCTGAGCTTATGGAGAGGGTAATCACTCCAAGGGGTGAAGCTCATGGCTCAGGTGACAGGCACTTGCCCTTGGCTCCTAGGCTTCACTCCCAGGGAATCGAGCAGACTTGCTTGGCTGTGATTGAAGTTGTGCTGATAGCTGTCAAACTTTGGCCAGTGTGGGCACATTGAAGATTTTCAGGAAACACTGCTGATTAACCCAGTGTCTACTCTGGGGATTCAGTGTTCCTCTTCACCCTCTCTGGATGACGTTGATCCTTTAGAAGGGGAAATATCTTTTAGTGCTGGAGCTAAAGTTGTGTAGGCAGAGGAGGAGTGATCATTTCTTAACTTTTCTCTGATGATTATAATACTTCAATGAGCAACTTTGGGGAAGATTGGCAGTGCTTTTTGGTGCTATGATTGTTGAAGTCACAAGAGGAAATTATAGAGACTCCAACCTTTCTCTTCCTTGAGCAGTTATCCCGCTTAGCAATCATTGACTGAGCATCAATTTACTGCTTACCATCTCCTCCTACTCCATGAAACCTCGGGGTGACTGGGTTAGAAACTGGCCTACCATGTTCCCCACAGTGTTAGTACTGTCCTTCCTATACTTGTTAATTACAGGTGTACCATTAGTGTGTTGTTGGTGATGTCAAATAAGTAGTAAAAATCATGAAGAAATGAAGTTTTGGAATATGTACCAATTAAGAATTGCTCCCAAAATGGTTTAGGCTGCAGTAGTATCACTGGAATATCAGCTAGCCAACTAAGTGACTATTTTGAGGATGGTGGTATTTAATTGTATATGTAAGATCTTATGTGTTTATTTATAAATTGGTTATGATATATTATAGTCATGACTCCCATAGACATTTTAACTGTCACTCTCTATGCATTTAGGCTTTAAATTCCTTGTTTTGGCAAAAGGTCATCTTGTTCCTTTATCGATTCTGTAAATTAATGTATTATTTGGCTCTAATACATAAATATACTATCCTTGAGTCCAGCTTATTAATTTGGAACCTCACAGGGTATGGGGTGGGTAGTTGGGAGCACATTCTTTTGGTTGTCTTGGTCCTAGTGAGCAGTCAGGCTGGGCATGGTGACTCATGCCTATAATCCCAGGGCTGTGGAAGGCTGGGGTAGGAGGATTGTGAGTTCTAGCCCAGTCTGGGCAACTTAGCTACTTTATGAGACTTTGTCTTAAAATAGTCTGGAGATGTAGCTCAGTACAAAGGCCCCAGGTTCAATCCCAAGAAGAGAGAGAGAGAGAGAGAGAGAGAGAGATATCAAAAGTCATTCAGAATCATGGTGTCAAAATGTTGGGGGTGAAGAAAAAGGCGGATCAGAGAGGAAACTAACTAGTGGCCCTTGAGGAGCATTTTGCAAATACTTACTACATATTATTTATTTTAATCCTCTTGACTTGCAATATGGTGGTGTTTTGTTTTGGTTTTGGTTTTGGTGGTGCTAGGGATTGAACCTAGGTACTTGCATGTGCTAAGCATGTGCTCTGTCACTGCAACTGCACCCCAGCCCTCTGGCTTATTTTCCTTCCCTTCCTCTCTTCCTTTTTTTCTTTTCTCCTTCTCTGTCTGTCTCTCTGTCTCTCTCCAGATACAAACCTGAGCCTCAGAGAAGTAAAGGCACTTATTCAGGATCATACAGAGTGACAAAGTCAGGGTGGAGATGTGGGTTTCTCTGGCTTCATTTTCACTTCTTATATTAAATAATGCAGATCATGGTTTTTGGTTAACAGAGGCATAATGTAATTATAAAATAGTGAGGTTAATGCATTTCATTTTTTGATGCATTACTGTTTCTGAAGACTAGAGATATTATTTCCTTGTATAAATAGAAAAAAAACTGTAGAAAGTATCAGCATTTAATGTTTAATTAGATTTTTATGGTAAATTTCATTTATTTAGCGAAGTGTAATATTAAAAATGTAACATACCTCAAATATTTACTTATAGTTTATATTTAATATAGAACAAATCCAATTTTGGTGTTAATGTCAGCAAAGCTTCTGAAATGAAACGTATGGAAACATGGTAGTTCAGATTTGTTGAATCTGAGCTTTGGGGATTTCAGGTCTTTTCTTTTTTTTTCCTTTCAGAATGTTAATATTTCCCTTAGTTTGGGGGCAGATGTGAGTTTTAAGATTCCCCATAAAGACTTACAGTGAACAGACACAAGATACATAGCGAGCCACTGGCCCTGATGGTTGCCTTGAGGAGTAGGACAGCAGGGTGCACGTGGGAGAGCAGACCTCAGAGAAGTGACCCCAGGGGTGGCTTGGGGAGGTCATGGCATCCTGTGTGTTCACCAGTCACCCAGAAAATTCCTCGGCCCACAATCCAGCTTGCATTCTTTGGTGGATTTGGTGCCAGGAAGTACCTTGTTTTTGTTTTTGGGGGTTTTGGGAGCCTTTTCTGCAGAAACACCATGTGCACCAAGGAGAAGTTTGGAAAGACCGAAGCGTATGTGGGAATTTTCCAATGCACCAAGGAGCAGCAGGATGGTGCTCGGGCCTGAAACACCATAGGTGAAGCAGAACGTGAATGTGACTGTCAGACACAGGTGCACACTGAGGTACCAAGACACTGTATTGACTCCAGAATGGCCTAGGCTGCAGCCTGGCCAGTTTTCTGTTTTATGGACACATAGGGAGCCTCTACACACCTGGCGTTTCCTTCTCCATAAGGGAGCCTGTGGCTGGCAGGCGAAGTTCATTGCCATGTGCACTCTATCTTTTCTGTCTTTTCTCTCTTCTTCATTTTCCAAGATGCTGCTGATGTGTCTGTCCCGGACTTTGTGTTGCACTGGAATCAGATCTGTGTGTGTTTAAAGAGGGTTCATTGTAAGCGCTTCATTTTTACTCAGCCCTAGGGAGGGGTCCAAGGTGATGGAAACCCTCCTTAGCTGTTTGCTTTTGCAACATTAAAAATATGCCTTGGTGCTAAAAGTATTCAATGATGCATGTTCACTACTGAATTCACAGTATTTCACTGATAAGGGGCTATATGTGCTTTGCATTTTAGAATTCTGGAACATTTCCCAGAAGACAGGCACCCATCACTCTTTATTTCAACTGTTAAAGAGTGCCCGAGGGAGTTTTTCTGTAGATAACTCAAGTGCTTTTGGTATTTAGTTTAGCAAGAAGGATCATATGTTAAGAATAATTTGAGAGAGAGGTAGAGCCATTTCACATTATTTTTCTGCAAAAAGTGTACACCCATATGAGGTGTTTTTAGCAGTGAGGTTTTAAAGGTATTGTCTTTTTCTGGTAGTCTACTATATAGGTCAGAATTTAAAGAGAAAATGTCACTGAAAACTAATTTCAAGGACGTATTAAACCAAAGGGGGAACAAAAGCAGCTTAAAGTTTGTATGTAGAATTGGAAAATAGAAATAATTGGTAAGATTTGGCATTGGGTATTTTTCTTAAAATAGATGTACCTCTACCCCAGGCCCCCAAATATTACTGTGGAAGCATGAAGTCGGACGGCCAGCCTCTAACATTTTAGCTTAAGGAAATGGAATAAAGAAACTGGCATTAGAGTCTCCGTGGAGTGTGTGTTCAGTGTGCGTGTGTTTTTCTGTGTAGAGGTGTGCTTGTGAAGAAGGGCTGTTTTGAGTTTTTACGTAAAGGAGTTTGATTTTGTGATTTTAAGATGAATATTTATTCAGAGACCTGTTAGGGTTAATTTAAAAGATGTATGACTTCCTTGTATTCAATGAAATTGATTGTCAATGTACTGATAAACCTTGGTTTACAATATCTTGAATACTTGATCATTGAATATTAAGGAAAAAAAATAGAAAAAATGAATAAAGTGTGTGGCATTGAAATTAGTTTGTCTCGATTTTTATTGTTTGGAGAGAAGAAGTGTGTGATTTCCCACTTCTTCCTCAAAATTAACTCCTTACCTAACTGATAACTTTGTCTTGAAGCAGAATGTTCAATGGTAAGCTGGTAGGATTATAGTTTTCAGAGCCAATTATAGCACTTACTTAATTGTCACCAAAAAAAGTAATTTCAAGTTGTTCATTATTTATTAAAATTCAGGACAGACTTTCATCCTGGAGAACTGTGTGCCTTGAATATGTTTGTTAGGTTATGCTTGAATAACCTAACCCCCAAATCTCTGGCTTCAAAGCACACGGTCTACTCTCCTTCACAGTGCATGTCCATTGGGGTTCTCTTCCACAATTTCCCAGGGACCCAGCAGCACTGTCTGGAGCCTTCAGAGCCACTTTTGGTTGCTGAGGGAAGGAAAGGTAGAGTCAGAAAGTGGCAGAACTCATCACTTCTGCTCCCATTTCATTGGCCTGCACTAGTGTCATGGTTTGCCTAACTGCCTGGGGTCCTGAAAATAAAGGTCCTGGAACAAGTGGTGTGTGGTTGATTGTGATGGGTTAAGAATGATTTCCAAAGGAGTACAACTCATTATTCGAAAAGTTGGTAAATAAAGGGAAAATCTTCAGTACACACACAGACACACACACACACACAAATGATTCCCAAAGGCAATAAATGAGTTGGTCAACAAGTGAATTGAAAGCCTTTCTTCTGAATCTGTTGGGTGACAGGAAAATTATTGGTTGCTGAAATGGCCCAGAAGCCAGTGCTCTGAGACAGGAGCAAGAATTTGGGCTTAGGCTCCACTTGGGGAGAAAAAGCATTAAATTTTTTAAAAAGTATATGTGTATGTATTTATACATACAGATGTATATATGTATGGATATGTATGTAAGTATGTATACATATATGTGTGGGTATACACATCTATAAGGGTCAGTAAGACATTTTAATACATGTATACAATGTAATGATCAGATTAGAGTAATTGGCTTATCCATCACCTCAAACACTTATCATTTCTTTGTGTTGAGAACATTCAAAATCCTCTCTACTAGTTTTTTGAAACATACAATTACATGTCTACAGTAGTTACCCTACTGTGCTGTAGAGCATTAGAAGTTATTCCTCCTGCTTAGCACGGTGAGGTTCTGGGTTCAATCCCCAGTGTGGACGGGGTATGTGTAGGATCCAACAAAAGGAAAGGATTCCTCCTCTCCAATGGCACCCTGCTCCCATTCCTGTCCTCTCTCCATCCCGCCCTCCCTCAAAACCCTATTCCACTATTCCACTCTACTGTTACGAGATCAACTTTTTCAGTGTTCTCATATAATAGAGAACATGTGATATTTGTCTTTCTGTGCCCGATTTATTTCGCTTAGCAAAATGTCCCACATTCCCTTCAAAGCACTGGATTTGGATGTCTCCGCTGACAGCAGTGTTTTCTAAATACACTGGCACCTCATACTTTTGGGTGAGAGGTGGAAGGAGGTAAAAGAGACGTGGAAATAACAGCATGCCTCCCAGGCTGGAGTACAGAGGGGTTATATTTAGAGTAGACCTTCAGTACTTCACAGCTGAAAGCAGGGCAGTGGATTTCCGTGTCTCATTCTTTTACCCCATCACACACAGAAAGCAGAGGGTCAGAGTGGCCCAAAGTGCATGAGTGTGTGTGTGTCTCTCCGTGTGTGTGTGTGTGTGTGTGTGTGTGTGCGCGCTTCTGTGCTGAACTTCTGGTAAACCCCTACTTTCCCCCTGGCTTTCTGTATTCATCAAAGGAGCTATTTACACAAAGTAAGTGGTAAGCCTTGGTCAGTCTGCTCAATTATGTGTACATAATTTAGGCAGAAGGATTTCTCAGGAACTTAAGTTTTCTACCTTTTGGGGTGTAGACAGACATTTTGCTTCGGGGTTGGACACAGGCACATTAGAATGTGTTTCACTTTGAGAATTGAACGGTGAGGAAAGGCCATGGTTATCGTCTTCCCTGCTTTAGCCCCAGACTTTGTTCAACCTATGTTTTAAGAGCTGTTAAAAAACATCTAGTTTTCTTTCTTCTTTTAAAAATCGCCAGCTGGACAGAGATGGCCTCTGTGGCTGCAGTGTACTGGAGCCAAAAAACATTTTTAATTGCACAAAGTCATTGGAAAGCAAGGAGATCAATATTCAGTGCTCACTTTTGAATTTAAATGTCAAAGTTTGATGCAGTTCCCACTCGTAATACCAACATAAATCAGTAGGAATCTAAAACTGTTCTTTGGTCTGCCGGAATGGCTAAGATCCTAGGCACTGCAGAAGGAGCAAGCCTGCCATGGATCAAGTTGTTCTAGTCAAAAGGCAATACTCGGAGCCAAAAGGCAATACTCAAGAGCGCTGGTTCTTCAGAAATCAATGTAAGCGGTCGCTTTCCGCGGGCCCGTGCTGGCTCCAAGCAAAGATGGATTTAGTTTCACTAGAGTGCCACCTAGCGGTCATTGTGGAGAACACATGCTCTGCTAACTTTCCTGGCCTTGACCGGAATGGGGGTACTCAGCGTGGATACATATTTGTGTGGCAAGGGTCATGGCCTCTATTCGCTTACTGAAACCTACCCAAGGTTGGATTGGTTCCTCTTAAGCTCTGCGTCTCTGCCCTGTTGGGTTTGGGAAGTGGAGGGACGTGGGGGAAGAGGAACGGGGAGAGAATACAGATTCTAGACCCCATATCGTGTGCGTGTGTGAGGGGTACAGCGGGTGAGGGTGCCGAAAATTCGGAAAGAGGGCGATGCGTTTGCTCACCGCTTCCATATTCCAGCCAAGAGCGAGGCAACGCGCAGCACAAAAGACTCCAACATGTGTAGGTCCCTTAGTCTCCCACATTTGTGATTCCCCATGCGAGGGGGCAGGAGCGCCCTAATAACAGCAGGGAGAGTCTGATTTCTGAAAGTCCTTCCCTCTGCTGGCTCCATCCAGCGGCGCGCCGCGCTGGCAAAGCCCTCCCCAAGCGTGGCCTCTGCAGAGGCAGCCCTGGGGCCTAGAAGCCCATCACCCCATTATTTCTGGGTCAAAAAAGGAGAGAGAGGTGGTGAGTGTGGCCAGTTGTTCTCATTCCAGGCCCCGGACTTGGTACATTAGTTTTCTTACTTGGTAAGGAGTGTAAAATAGGAGCGAGATTATGAGATTATGTCCGGGGTGGTAGAGTCCAGGACAGCTTAGCTGAAAAGATAAAATTTGAAACAATACGAGCACTAAAGGGTGGATGGGATTTCTAGAGGCTGAGATGGGACAGGAGGGGACAGATAAACAGGAAGGATGGAAAGGAGCCGGGAAGGCGGTGTGAATTCGGGAGAGGAGGCGTTGACAGGTAAGGCGGTGGAGACAGGGTCTGGGTGGGAGAGGGGCACGAGAGAGTCCAGCAGGAGGACCTGCGCGGTGGCAGCGAGGGCCGGCTCATCTGGCAATGAGTGTGGCAATTGCGGCAAGGTGGCAGAGGTCAGAGATGGGCCCAGAGCAGATGGGGGCTTCGATCACCCTGGACATCAATTATTGACCAAAGATGTGTTTTCTATTAAAATCAGTTTTGGAAATATCAAACAGAATTGGGCTACGTTGGGGAAGCTAAGAATCTTCGGTGAGACCTAAAAATAATAATTTTTCAATCTTTTAAATCTGGGTTGGGCACCATGGTGAATGAGCGAAATCCCAGGCTGCTTGGGGGGCTGAGGCAGAAGGAGCAAAGTTCAAGGGCAGGCAGGACAACTTAGCCCAACATGGTCTCCAAAACAAGCAACGACAAAGCAGGGGCAGTGTTTCCCTAGCATGTGGGAGGCCTGGGCTTTAATGCCCACTTGAAACACACAAGTTAAATTTAGAACAGCAACATGTTCAGGTGTGTTGGCTTGGGGTGGGGGTGGGGGGGGTTGAGTATTCTTTTTTTTAAACAAGAAAACCTGCAGATTCTGGTGATCACAGGACTTGTGTGTTTGCGTGTGTGGTGGGGAGGGGTTTTGGGAGTGGAACTGTCTGCAGCATGAGAAGCAAGGGCTCCGCTGTACCTGTGGACCGCTCCCCCCGCCCCGCCCCTTTTACAAGGCCAGGAGGGGGTGTCAGGGATGACCTAGTTTGGGTGTGGCGAGTGGGCTCTCGTCCCTCATGTCAACATTGATTCAACAATGTTGATGGCCGCCTTGAGATGTAGCTGACTGTGTCGGGGATTCTGAGGCCACAAATGCTCTAGTTCAATGGAAAAATGCACTGGTATCTTCCCTGACACATTTTGAGAAAAGAAAGCACTTCTGTTGTGAATTTGCCACCCCAATCTAAACCTCGTTTTACAGTTTTACTTTGTTAAACTCTATAAAGTTGTTTTAATTTTTTTTTTTTTGGTACCAGGGATCGAACTCAGGTACTTGCGCTTGCGCAGCAGGTGGCAAAACCACTGAGCTAAATCCCTGGCCCTTGTTAATATCATATTAAATGAGAAAAAACTGAATGCTTTCTCTCAAAAATCAGGAACAAGACAAAGATATCCATTAACACCATTCCTATTCAACAAAATAATTTTAATATAACCCAAAAAATCATGAAAGAAAAAGAAATAAAAGGAATATGTATAGAAAAAGAAGTCGAATTATCATTATTTGCAGATGACTTGATCCTCTACATAGAAGAAACCCTAAATTCTACCAAAAGACTCCTAGAATTAATAACAAAATTCAGCGATATAGCAGGATAAAAAGTCAATATACAAAAATCAATTTTGTACATGTACACCAAAACGAACTCACTAAGAAAAATTAGGTATACCATTCACAGTGGCATCCAGAAAAATTAAATAATTTAGAATTAAATTAACCAAGAAAGAGAAATATCTCTACAATGAAAACTAAAGTACTCTGAAAAGATTGAAGAGGACATAAGAAAAGAAAAACCTATCTCCTGTCCCAGATAGACAAGATTAATATAGTCAAAATTGTCAAACTTCCAAAGCTAATATATAGATTTAATGGAATTCCAATCAAAA